GTCTTTTGAGATCAGCTGTACAGACTTGAATAAACATGGAATAATTTAGTAGATTCAACCAAAACCACTGAACATTTCCCTAGCTCTTAGTTTTGCTAAATCATAATCCTGTTTTCTTTTTCTGCGTCCTTTTCCATGTTGTACCTGTAAACAAGCCATGTCATACGTCTATCAGTTTGTTTCTTCTCGTAAATTATTTCTGTGGATTATAGATATAATCTCACGAATAAATTACTTATAGGCCAGGCGTGTCGAACTCATTTTCATTTTGGGGCATATCAAAAATCTGAATGTTCTTAACGGGCCTGTTGTGCCAGAATGTTTTCATAAAAACCCTTTGAATTAACAATAAATAGCTGTTTTAGCATAAAATAAGTGTTTCTTAAAATTGAACATCTTTTCACTGATCAGTCCATCCAGGATTTTGCGATTGTTTTTGTGGTGCTAATTTATAAATATTTATTTATAAATATGTAGTAATTCGTAATTTATAAATATGTAGTATCATGCACTAATGCATGATACTACATATGACTATTTTTATTGTCGTATCAAGTAAGACTGAGGCAGCAGTCACTTAAACTCAATGTAATTGGTCAATTTTGAAAAAACAAACAAACAAAAAAACAACAAAATGACAAACTGAGCAAAATCTGAAAAAAAAAGGAGATCTATTGATTTAGTGTGAATTTTGCAGATTTGTGAAAAACTGGAGGGACTTATTAAGGTAATTTGCAGTCTAGAGGGCCACTTGAAAAGCTACAGTGGGGCAGATTTGGCCCCCGGGCCCTGGGTAACGGAGGTGAATTGCAAAGCAAATGACTGATTCAATGCTTATAGATGATGTGCGATGCTTTTTGTCAAGAGTATTTCAATTAAAGAGAAATAAAAGTAATATATTTTTTCTCTTGAAGAGCCATTGCCACCACTCCCTCTGTTATCTGGTCTTCAGCATTAAGTACTTTTCTTTCTTTAGCTCCACCCAAAGTGACATGATGTCCAATTAACTGCTCTGATCACAAATGAGCTCTCTATGTGGACTGGCTTGGATCTTAAAAGAGCAAGAATGAATCCAAACTTGCCTTTCTGGATCACTTAGTTTGTAATGACGTACCTGAAGCGCTATGCACAGAGTGTTTTTGGAAAGTGAGGTTATGTTGTCATGGCGTACAACTCAAATAAACTAGACAAGGTTGTTTATGAGTCATGGCTTTCTCTGTCTTAATAATATATAACTTCATTAGCCAGGTCAGTTCAGGATGCCACCCACCTAGTAATAATCCAAAACACTGGGAAACCATTTTACTAAATAGTTAATTTGTGTCAACTAAGAGGGCATATTGAAAAAAAATTCAATAATTTTCTGTTAATGCTAGAGCAGTTATAAATGTTAACCACTTCTGAGGTTAATACAGCTAAAAAGAAGCACTAAGATTAAACATCGCAAAGGTCACAAGCAAAATTCAACTGTCTAATGCAGTGTTTCTCATTTCCGGTCCTCCGGCCCCCAGCCCTGCATGTTTCAGGTGTTTCCCTTCTACCACACACTTGGATTTGATTTGTGGGTGATTAACAGGTTTTGCAGTACTTGATGACTGCAGACAAAGTCATGCAATCATTTAGATCAGCTGTTCTGGAATAGAGGCACATCTAAAACATGCAGAGCAGGGGGGCGCTGAGGACTGGAATTGAGAAGCACTGGTCTAATGTTTGTTTTACAGTGACTGTACAGTGATGAAACACAAGCAAGTTTAAAAGACCAAACTAAAATTTCCAAACATTTTTCAATCTCATGTCAAGAAAGTTCAGTCATAAAACTGAAAATTCTCTCACCATAGCCTGGTAAGAGAAGGCCTCATGATGAAGTTAGAAAATCAACAGGTTTACTTGACTATTACATAAATATTATGGTCATCATTGCTAAATTTACGTTTGCTTTTTCAAATGCATAAAAAAAGATTGAGCTTATGCAGTAATGAACCTCTAACGGTGCTTGACTGTTGCAGGCAGCTGATGGACGTCCATTACTACTCTCCTTTCTTGAAATAAGTCACTGGAGTTCTGTATATATGAAGCAAATATGACTTTCTTTTCAAATACACAGTGGCCCCAACCATACTGCCAAATTAAATAAATTCTGTCCATTTACCATTTACCCCTCAATAGTTCAAAACAGGACTATTTTGTCATCAATCTTTGTATTAAAAAAAGTCGCAGGTGAATTTCCTCGAGGCTGTGTTGCACCACTTTTATTTTAGTTATGTCAACTTTTTACGCTGCAGACCAATCACTGCAATTTTACATTTTGCCACATCACTACAGCCTCTTATATTTACCAAGTTTGTGTGTGCATATTCTCAACGGAGTGGAACCGACAGCATTTCCTTCATCATGTTGCAGAAAACACAGAAGTCATTGTTTAGGGAAAGTATAAAGTCATAGATCAACTAGATGATGCAAACTAGGGATCTCGTAATATGAATTTCATATCATGATATGATGTCACAATATATTCTAATGGGTAGCGGTAGGAACATATATCACAATAGTGTTATATTTGCAAAAAACTTGCAATAAAAAAACCCCTAAAATCTCATTGACTGGAATGTATATATTTATAAAAACTCATTTAACACTCTGTGTGTGTGTGTGTGTGTTTCTTTTTTTGGCTCTTTTGGTAGTTTGATAGTTAATTGACAGGAAAGTGGGTAATGAGAGAAGGGGAAGACGTGCGGCAAAGGTCGCCAGGCCAGGAATCGAACCTGCGACGGCTGCGTCGAGTACTAAGACCTCCATATGTGGGTTGTGCTTAAACCCTGCACCACCACAGCACAACCCGGGTATTTAAACCACACAAATTTTTTACTCGGTGCACGTACCGTTTGCGGTTTCAGAAAGACTGCCTCCCCTCTGTCCAACCATGCCTGGAGCATCGTGCCAAGACGGCAGGAGGGATAGAAACTGTGTCCATTGGACTCGGCGAGCTTTACCCCCTGGCAGATCCTGTGTGCCTTTACGCCTTGTATCCCTACTGTCTGCAGCGCTCCTTCTGAGCATTGCGCTAAGACCATGGTAGGTTAAACACAAACCACTTCCAGATAATTGACGTTTTTTGCACCTGCCTTTTTAACAAGCTCTTCCCTTGTGCTGTTAGCCACGCTGCTTCCCGGTTCCTCTGTCAACAAGCATCACCACGGTTGGCCGGTAGTCTACAGATCTCTATCGTAGGCCGAATTTCTACCGGGTATGCCGTTTATATCGCACATTCCTAATGCAAACTACAAAAACATAGCCAGAAATGAAAAGGCACTTACTGTTTCATATAATTTTGACAAATATAATTTATTATTTAATAAGCCTATTTTCTTAAAATGAAAAATGTTGCTTGTTGATTTCTTCCTGAACATTACCCTGAAAACCTGGAGGCCTTTATTTCCAGTAGCAAATATTCTGGTAAAGTAGCTCTACCGCCGTCTTTTGACAGAAAAAAAGAGCTTTCAGTTCAAACAAATGGATAGCATGTCTTATGTTTAAGTAATCCTCAAGCTGTTTTTTTTTTTTTTTTTTAAACACTGAAATCTGTATGGAGGACTTTGAAACAAGTTTATTTAACCAGAATAAATGTGATATTTTACTGTGTAGTAATAAATTGAGAGATACTTGGAGATAATACATTTAAAATACTTGTATCATTCAAACAGAAATCCAACTCGCTGCATTTAACGTCACTCTGGTTTACTTATAAGGCTAATCTATAAAATAACTGATTTTATGTTTTTTGTTTGAAATATCTACTTTCTCTTTGACATTGGTGAGAGATGTACTCTGTATAATCAGTTTGAGCTTCAGTCTCTTGAATATTACAACCTTTTCTAATCCTGCCCACCCATAAATAGCAAATGTCAGATTTTAAGAGATCCACAGGGGGCGGGGGTAACTCTAATGGTATTTGGTTTTATTTCAAGGTGGCTTTATCAAAGTAAGTAGGACAAGATTGAAATCATTTTAGTATGGATGAATCGGAAGGATATTTGGAGGTGAAAGGAGAGGAAGAGGGTGTGAGGATTACACATGTTGACGCTGAAGGACAAGAAGCTTTTATACTGAAGGTGTGACTGGTTGTTTTCCAAAATGTCATCGTCTTTCAGCCCCACAATTTCATTCATCCCAGAGGGACAATTTGGGTCAGATGGTTAAAACATAAGCACAGGAGGTTTAACTTCATAATTATCATTAAATTTTGCTGAGCTTCAGTTACCTTTTATCCCTCTGTAAACTATTATGACATACAAACAGGAAGTAACAGACAGTTAAAACTAATTTGCAGGGGGAACAAACTGGACACCACGCAGAAAATCTAAAATCTTGGATAATGAATCCAATCAAGATTTGTTCATAGTTATAAATGGTGACCCTCTGATGGAAGGTTGTCACACAGGACCTACAAACGTCTAATGAAACTTATCTATAAATGCGGTATTGGTATTGATCTTAATCTGTCGTAGATTACACATAGTGTGACGACGTGTGTGTTTTTGTATATTAGAGCTGGAAATCTTGTAAATGACACAATATTCCCATTAAAATAAACCACACATACTCCACAATTATTTCTATTTGTAAAATGACAAATCCAAAACAAATATACAATTTGTAGGAAATTTTATGTTCACAAGCATAAACATTTATATAGAATTACCATTTTAGTTCCAAATGATTCCTGCATAATTGTTCTGTTGGACATATTTGGGAGACAAGAACAGCAAATCTGAAAAACTTAATATTCAACATAAAGGTTTTAATCTTTACTCAGTTGAAGTTTATCTGACGGGGCTGAAACAGGAACAGTCATTAACTTTCTTTAATGGCCGATAATTTCCAAACTTTCCATCCACCAGAGGTCCTCTTTCCACCCAGCATGCTACCTATTTTTTTTGTTTCTTTTTGATATTAGTTGGTCACCAATCTATATATGAATTAAGGTAATCATACAGGAAACCAAATGCAATGAAAACATGTTTATTTAATTTTTGACACCAAATGTCTGAAAACTAAAATTAATTATAACAGATTAAAAATGGATCAGACTAGAATCAACTTGATATCTGATACGAATGATATTTGATCATTCGTATTACTTGATTGGTAAGATCACAATATTCCTGTACTCCTGTTAGTTCAGATTAACCCCACGTTACTTAGCTACATATTAACAGCACAACTAAAATTAGTTTAGTTGACTCCTCAAAAGAAAAAGAACTCAATTTTAAAACTTGCATTACTTGTTTCCATCAATAAGATACCAGTTTTAGTAGCACATATTTTATACTGCAGTGAAGTATAAAACATAACCTTTTTCCCATCTGTGCATTGCATAATCCCCAGTAAGACATTTACTTCCAAGCACCACCCACAAGAAATTGAAGGAACAGAGCAAGAACAGCAATTCCCACAAAGTGAGTGAAGTGGCTCAGGGTTTCCCCACTGCCAAAAATACTGTCGTCAGTGGTCATACTGGGAGTGGTGGTGTGGGGGGCGGGGGCGGAGGTGGTGGTGGTACAGGTGAAGCTTAGGTCGCTGTCAATGCCTGGCGAGGTGAAGGTAACAAAGCCCGGCTCCATGCCAGTGACCGTGTCATTGATCCAGCTCTGGTACTGGGACACTCGGGTGTAGACACCCGGTTTCATTGGGACAGCACATCCCTCACCAAAGCTCACAATTCCAGCCTGGACCCACTGAGAACTATTCTGGAGTTGAACCATCAACGGTCCACCTGAATCTCCCTGAAGGGGAGAAGAAAGAGATGAAAATAATAATTACTTGTGGATAGTAATTGCAGTTTTATATTACCCTCTCATTGTCAATTTTTTTTATTTTTGACTTATTAGGTTTTTCTAAAGTGTGTCTGCTTTTTCTTTGGTTCTGTTGCGTTACATGTTCTGGAATGCTTCCTGCGTTCAGTTTGGGACTGGACAGCAAAAACAATGCTGCTTTTTTTTGCTGCTTTTTTTTGTTTTATCCTGTGAAATACCTTGATTTTAATTAGGGGTGCAGCCGATTTCCTTAATTTTGGGAGATCAATGATCGGCCAAGATTTCAATGTGTAGCCAGTGTTATCCCCTGATCTACCCCAGCAAATGTCTTAAAACCAACCGCTGTACTCTCCTCTGAGAAGTGTGACTGTTAGCCCCTCCCACCGGGTCATGTTTGCACATTTGCACTTAACAAGAGTCACCCCACTGTTGCCAAATCAACAACTTTCCTGCTATATTTAGTGACATTTCAGACAAAACAAAAATTGGTATCAACAAAATTGGAATCAGCAGGTTGGGCTAATCGGCGAACAGATAGAAAACTGCAATCTGTGCACCCCTAATTTTAATGTCAATTCATAGAACTGACTGTGCAAGAAAATGGCTTTATGCCGGTCAACCAAATGCTGCCAATGTTCATGCCAGTGCTGGTCAATACAAGCCTAGAACAGGGGTGGGCAACTCCAGGCCTGGAGGGCTGGTCTCCTGCAACTTTTAGATGTATCTCTACTTCATCACACCTGGGTCAAATAATTAGGTTATTAGCAGGGCTCTGGAGAACCTGACCGCACTTAGGAGGTGATTCAACTATTTGATTCAAGTGTGTTGGACCAGGGAGACGTCTAAGAGTTGCAGGACACCGGCCCTCGAGGACCAGCATTGCCCACCGCTGTTATAGAAGAATGTTAAATAAGATGATCCTCCATGAGTGGGAACTTTAAGTTGTCATAGCAGAAAGTGTTCAGTACAAAATAAGAGCAACAGAAACTAAAAACAATGGGATAAAACAATAGTGTCGGAAAAACACCATACAAGCTAGCTAGAAATACAAATGTAGCATATAAACGTATATGCCAAAAACCTCCAAGCTTTTGCCTTTACAATTAAAACATTGCATATTCATAAGATCCAGACTACATACTGAAAACAGAGGTTCATACAAAATGAGTCTGTTACTTGTAATTGCAGCCGATTTGTAGACTATCAGGAAGTTTGAAATTACTCTTCTTCCTTGTGTTTTATGCTGAGAATTATTCCACCGAGCTGTTAAAAAAACAAAACAAAAAAACATTGCAGAAATAATGTTGTAGTTACCTGACAAGAGTCCTTTCCTCCCTCTTTAAATCCAGCACACAAGTAGTTATTTGTGTTTAGGTTAGGATTGAAAAGAAGTGCATTCATGAATGTTTCGTAGTAGTAGCACATGCATCTGTTGTTTCCAACTATTGGCACCTGTACTTCCTGCAGAGAGCTGGGATTTAATCCAAGTCCAATACGCCGGGTTTCTAGAAGAGAAAAGTAAAGGTTTTACATAAAATCCATAAGGGGTGTTGTCGGAGACAGTGTCTATTGTGCAACTTACCAGTGACGCCAAAACCAGTGACCCAGCTCGCAAGGCCATCATGGAAAGTGCTGTTCTCTGAGGCCAAGCAGATCGGCTGGATGTAGGGAGTAAAGTCAACGGGAGCCGAAAGCTTCAGAAGACAGATGTCATTCTCAGATGTTAAAGAGTCGTACTCAGGATGGCAGATGATTTCAGAGAGTCTTCGAGTAACTTTAGTCGAGTTGGAAACGCTGTCTGGTTGTACAACACCAAGTTGGACTTTTGTGTAGTTGAGGTCGTCTCTTATGGAAAATCAAAACACGCAAGAATAAGAGTCAGCACAGAAGTTTAGACTGTTCTTTCAGTATCAACAAATGTTGAAAAACATAATGAAAGCCATCTCTGATAAAAGCGACAATATGTAACTTTTATTTTTAAAAATATTTTTTTTACGTATTTGTTGAAACTGTCACTATTGTCACAGACAATCTGTGAAAAAGTCAAGTTCCTCTGCCTGTTACGGTGAGGGGATAAGATCTGATGATGGATTTGACATACGTGTCTGACTGATGGAAAGTGAGAAACCGGTCTCACCTGCCTTGTTTGACATGTTTGCGTGTATGTGTGTGTGCAAATTTCAGGAGGTGACTCACAACCCGGTAAGTATCCAACACTCCTTTTCTAATTTTTAACAGGAAAAAAAAAGTGTTTCGCAGATTATCTGCATCATGATGTGGTGATAGTTTTAATAAATATGTAAAAAACAGATTTTGTTTTATAAAAGTTACACGCTGCAGCTTTAATCATTTATTAACCATCTGATTAAAAAAAAAAACCCTCTCACCTTGATATGCAGTGAGCAGCTGTTAGCACCCATTCATTGCTTATCAGCGACCCTCCACAGGAGGAATAACTTGTAGTAAAATATACCTGCCAGGGCCAGTCCCCCAGCTGGGCATCTTGACCTCCAATGATCCGTGACTTGCTTCCAGCTGCTTTGCCACACACTGGGAAAAACCGAGAAAAGACAAAAGGTGAGTCAAGGTGGAGGAAGCGCTCATACATGTCAAACTACGCCTCATCGTTTGACACGGCTCTGTTTTTCTACTGTTGGTTTCATGGTAAACGGGTACAATCAGTTTTTCAATGTTGAACCATTTTTGCGTGGTTTAAAAAAAATATTTTAATGCTGTTTTGTATTTCTGCTTTTTGTTAAACAATTCTAAGAGAAAGCAAAATGTTAATCAACATAGCAGAGGCCCAACTTCTAAAATTAACTTGATTCTTTTTTTGAGAGAGAGAGAGACAGAGAGAGTGAGAGTCAGAGAGAGAGAGAGAGAGAGAGAGAGAGAGAGATCCAAGATGCTTACCAGGCTCCTGTGATTGACAACCTGAAATGCCAAAAATAGACATGTTAAACCAGTCATCAGTTCACATGACCAGCTGGAGAAAGAAATTAACTATTGTCTCCCACACATTCATTATATATATATATATATATATATATATAAAATCATGGCTGTTTAGCTGAAGTTTAAAAAGTGTTTGCCTCCTCTCCTATTTAAATGTTTCTGGTACATTTTCAAGAACAAATCCAAAAAAAAAAAAAAAAAATTGGATTTCTTTTATTCATGGAAAATATATATTCAAACCTTTCTGTCTAGTGTGAAAAAGTAATTGTAGCATCATTATTTGTACTGGTTATTTCTTTCTTTGTGGTAACAAACAAAAACTTGTAACAGGTCTTGTTCATCGCTATGGAGGAATATTTGCAAAGTCCTCTTTATGGAATTGTATAATTTCAGCCACACTAGACAGGTTTTGGACATGAACATCCTGTTTAAGGTCATGTCACAGCATGCAAAATTAAATTTAAGTTTGGACTTTGACTTATGGACTCACTCCAAATATTACTTCCAGTCATCAGAAACGGCATGGTAAAATTCAAAGCTTATTTTAAATCTAAATTACTATTACTTTATTTATAAAGCTCTTTAAAACAGTAGCTATGACAAAGTGCTGTACAGATAAAAAACAAACATTCAAAATATGGAAAGGACAGAAGATGATACCATAATGTGCAATAAAAGAAGTAGGAGGAAAAGTGTCAACGTGTTTAAAGCAATAGAAGGAAATTGTGACTTGCGAAGAGTTTTAAACGTGGACAATAAGGGGATTATTTGTGTATTGTATCTCAACTAATAAAAGTCAGAACAATATTTAATAAAACTTAATTTGAAATGGGGATGTAAATGTTACATTTTCACTGTGTAAATTGGTCACAAAGATAAAACAACATTGAATAAAATGCGGCTAAGATAGCAGGACATGTAGGTTTGTCTTCATAACTAACTCATGATCTACAGAAACCTTTTCACCATCTATGTGTACAAGGTTTATCAGAGACACGTCATTAAGCTACATGAAATGTAACGTATGAATCATGAAACACTCATTCTTACCATTGGAGAACAGAAGGATCAGCACAAAGTATCCAAACAGCTTTTGGAGAGCCATTTTTAAAGAAACAATACCCTCAGCAGCAGATGCATGAAGATGTTCAGCTCCACTCAGAATGAACCTTTTACACTAATGTTAGCCTCCTTAACACATGAACATGAAAGGAAACCTGTTGGTCGTGTTGTCAGAGTTGAACTGGCCTTTTCTGAGACATGAAAGATGTCCAATCAAGGAAGTAATTTATTTTTATCATGCAACATGTTTGCTTTTCCTTTCAGGTTCTAAAGACAATCAACTAAGTTCATTGTCCTAATCTGAGCTCCTCCGACTTTTAACAAATGTACAGATATTTTATGTTTTATGGAATAATTCAATAGCACTTGACCTCTCTAGTACTTATTTTAAAATCAATCAATCAAATTTTATTTGTATGGCACATTTCAGCAGCAAGGCATTTCAAGGTGATTTACATAATTAAAGGAAAAATAAGAACAGCCTGTGACATTGAATAAACATTGACATATCAATGTAACATAAAAGCATTTTTTAAAAAGTAAGGAAAGTTTTTACTAAATGGTTGTGGTTGACCATCAGTGAAGCAGAGGTATTTATTGCCATTACTGCAGACATTGCTCAGCTTCAAAGTATTTTCCTTATTGTTTCCTTTAGTCTGTCTCTTCCCTGTAATTCTCACAGAGCCTTTTGTCTTCAGCCCATCAAAACCGGTCTGGTCTCTGTGCTACATCTGTCAGTGAAACTATGCAGCATTTACCAGCTCATCACTGCGCCCTGTCCCCAGTGAACCGTTGCTGCTGCTGTTTTAACTTTGTTCTGTTTACCTCTCATAAAATGACCGTACTACCTGCCATATCACCCTGACATCAAACTTTCCCATGTAAAGGTTTGATGTCAGTGTTTTGCTTCAACCATGGCAGCAGAAAAATAAAATGCTTTCCATTTCATTTGCTAATGCTCCATTATCTCTTGGTACTACCAACTACCAGTGTTAGGAGTAGCTGTCATTGAAACACTGGTAACTTTTTCTTTTGCACAAATCTTTAATATTCTGCTGATGTCAAACACACAATTTCACAGTTGCAGTGTTTTCATTTAATAAAATTAAAACGTGAATAATTTTGTCATTCAAAATCGATGTAAATGGTTACATGAGATAATGTTCATAATTCAGCCATGGTGCTAATGCTCATCATCTATCAGCCAATCAGAGGAGACGTTGGTGTCTTATTCAGGCGTTAGTCACATTATCCCAAAAAAAGAAAGAAAAACAAACTATCATCCTCCTACCACTTCCTGTTATCGTCTTTGTTGTTTACAACAGTAGTAACATCTGCCTGTTGATAATGTGACTCGTCTGATACCAAAGAAAAAAGGTCTTCTCATTTCAGTTTTTTAAAATACGTCTATTTCAATAGAACCAAAAGAACACCTCAACATAAAACAAAAACTTACTGAAAATTGAGAGTTTTCCCCCCAAAAATTGCCGTGTTTTTATTAAGAGAATTTTCATAATTTCAATTTGTGCAATTCTATGGTTAATGGAAACCTTAATTGCTGACATTTTTAAAATTGTGATGGAAAGAAACGACTTTAACAAAGCTCAGCCTCCTGCTTTTTAAAGGGAAAACAGTATTGTCCTAAATGGAATGAGGAACAGAAAGACGTTAAACCTGATTTCATTCGTTTGAGAAGGAAGTGAAATAAAATATTTTCCACTCATCCACTTGTGGGAAGACATTGTACAATGCAGCAAGGTGCCTTAACAATTTCCCAACTCTGAATAAGTTTTCTCTTTGTAAAAATAAAAAAAATCAAGTTGCTTGGAAACACTCTTGACCTTTGCTTCTCTGTAAGGAAAGTCTCCTGGCAGGCTTTTGTATTTACTTTTCTCTAGGAGTGCAAATCTAGATTATCATTACCTTGACAGCCATACAACTCTTATCTCTGTACGGACTAGCCTGAATGTATACATTTATTAATCTGTCTTGAAGGTGGCATAGTTGCACAAATTCACATTCTTGCATAAAAGAAGTGAGTCACCTAGACATGTAACAATAATTAACCTCCTTTCAACTCTTCCAACTGCTGGCTATTCTGTGTTTGTTGATTTTGTTTAGCCTATGTTGTTAATTCTGTGCACAGGAAAATCTCTTGAGATTCATCATCCCACATACAAGAGAGACCTGTTGCACACATCAACAAATTACATAAAAACATTACAATCTAAACACGGAAGGGTTAACAATGATGAACAAAGACACATTTTTAAAACCCTTTATTAAAATGTTGAGCTCCCCAAGTGTGACCAGATTGCACTGAATGCACTGAAGGAAGACTGAATGTGACAAAGTCCTGAGAGCAAAGGCCGTCGTATTGATTCTTGTGTGAAATGTAACATAAGAATGATGAAATCAGATGGAGGATGGATTTGTAAAGCATACCCTTGCAAGAGTGTCTGATTGTGTAGAGGGGGTAATTTAACTGAAGTGCAATGGTGATAAATCCAACAGTCTCTAATGGACATAATAGAGGACCGTAGTCTAGAATACTCATAAGTGGTAGAAACAAGTAGATTTGAGAAACAAGCTTGTTTTGAAAAATGAAGCCTAGCATTTTCTGTTTGTTCAAAAATAAGATGCTCTTGGTCTTATTTGCCTTCAGTAGCAATCTAAATTTTAATAGTTGTGACTGAATGACTGATTTTGCCTGACAATAAATTTCTGAATCAACATAAAAATGCAGAGCTGCACTTGTAAGACCGTGGCCCAAATTGTTACTGTAGATGTTAAACAGCGTAGGTCCTAAAATGGACCCCTGTGGAACCTCCCTAAAAATGTCCATGTAGCTTGATGTTCGACAACCACGTTGTGCACACCGTTTACGGCCAGTCAGATAATTTAGTAACCACAGTCTATTCAGTAAACCCATATGTCCAAAAGCCTTCGTAAAACATTGCTTGCTGTGTGAGTGATACCACCACATATTGAAATGATAGCCCAGCATTTGATTGGCTTTTAAAAAGTTTAAACTGCCTGGCTGTGCCCCAGTGATACCTGGGATGTATCCAATGCTGCTAAGGCCATCTCTGCAGGCTCTTTTATTAGCGGCTGTGTTTGCAGTCACACAAACTGTATTCACATTGGGATGTGGTTCATCATATTACTGATGACTGACGAAAGATTTAACAAGTGTTTCTTAGGTAAGATGAAAGTAAGCAACAGGTAGGTCATTTGATTTTTGACCTTTCCACAATCTTTTATCATTTATGTTGTTTGATTGGTAATGAATATCATAAAATCCTAGATTTTACATATATGAATAGATTAATTATGCCCTACTCCCGAGATGCTTGATTACTATGATTCAAATTTGTAAAACTGGTTAAAATGAGGTAAGAAAACTTAAAAGGGAAGAATGCATGTTAAAGGTTCAAACTACTTATTTCACTGCTTGAACCTAAATCTGACAATGAAGAGTATTTGTGTCAAAGTTTTCTGTAAGGTAGGAAATTACACACTCGTATATGAACTGCAGCAAAGCTCCATGTTGACAGAGCATAATTGTGCACTCAGGAAGTCGCTATGTATTAAAATATTTTCTTTGCCAAAAAAACATGGAAAGATGCTGCGAGAACAGTGATTCTTTGGCCAATCATTCTCTAACCCAGTGGTTTCCAAACATTTTCTGCGCCCCCCTATGTATTACAAATGGGACGCGTGTGAGGGGAGGGGGCATCGACTTTTTTGGGGGCAAAATGAATGTACGTAGCTGAAAATAGACACCAACATCGGTAGCCTACAAAGTACTTGTTAAGCTTAAGGTTCTGTATTGATATTAGCTAGTCATCTTTAGCTAACATTACCTGTATCCAATAGCTTTACTCAACTCAGTCGGTTAGTTTGGAGGGAAAAACTGCGAAAAGTTCTTTGGGTTTTGCTGGTTTGCTGCCGTGATTCTAACATAAACCTACGTAGCTCCGCACAGCAGCAGCAGGTCTCCTTCACAGGTGGAAACCCAGCGCGAGCGTCGTAGCACTCATGTTGTGTTTAAAGGCGGCTCGGAAAAATAGGTTACAACATGTTAACAACGGATTAAACAGTTTTAACTGCTGATAAAAGTGACAGGGGACACAAATATGGGAAGTGTGGAGCCCCCTGCTGTATCAAATTGACATAGGAATAACAGAGAGTTGGCCATTCTAAGGTAAAAACCCAGCACATACATTGTTCATGTTTTGTTTTGTTTTTTTCATCCAGACGGCTTCCCGCGCCCCCCCTGCAATGACAAGGGGCCCCCCCTAGGGGGCGCGCCCCACAGTTTGGGAACCTCTGCTGTACACGAACCAGTTAAAAACTAAACAGGATTATATTAAAATTCAGATCAATCTGTATGTACATG